TAGGCAAGTGCACCATTACTGAGCTACATCCATAGCCTATGACCTATAAGGGTTTTTTGGTTTTGTTTTTGGTACTAGGGATTAAACCCAGGGGAGCTTTACCACTGAACTACATCCACAGTTCTTTTTTGAGATGTGGTCTCACTGAGTTGCTGAGGCTAGCCTTGAACTTTCAATCCTCTTGGCCTCCCAAGTCACTATGATTACAGGCATGTGCCACTCTGCCTGGGAATAAGTTAATTGGCTTTTTTGTTTTGTTACCAGAGACTGAACACCGGGGTGCTTAACTACTGAGCCACATTCCTAGATTCTTTTTTTTTTTTTTTTTTTTTTTTAGGGTCTTGTTAAGCTACTGAGCTTGGCTTTGAATGTGCCATCCTCCTGCCTCAACATCCTGAGCCTCTGCATGCCTGGCCCTTTGTTTTTTGACACAGAGTCTCATTAAATTACTTAGGCCCTTGCTAAGCTGCTGAGGCTATCTTTGAACTTTAAATCCTTCCTCAGCCTCGCAAGCCACCACTTGGTGATAGGTTGGTTCTTRATGCTACCATTTCAGTTGGGTTTTTTTTGTGCCCTAGGGTAATTGTATCCCAAAGGGTCACTTGATTAATTCAACTGCAGTGAGAAAAAGACCCTTGGAGACTGCTGGAGGCCTTGGTTCCTCAAAGCATCCATGCCTACAGTACTCTCAGAATATGCATGATGTGCTTCCTACCCCTGAACTGGAAGCCAGGAGAGCAAGGAGCTAGCCCCTACCTCAGTTACAAATAGGCAGTCAAGCCCTCACCACTGTAGCCACACTAAAGAGCCCCTAATCAATAGCAGGGCCGCAGGGGGTTTTTAGGTCAGAGTACAGGGTCTCTTTGGAGACTAGTCTGCATTGGTAGACACCCAGGCCCCTGTTGCAGGTGCAACCAAGAGGAAAGGATGAGGACAACCGAGAAACCAGGAAATAAGCAAGGGACCTAGGACTCAATGCAGTTTCCAACCCTGCTGACTACTTGCCCGTCATTTGCCTAAGGAGTCATGTCACCTTCGGATCTGGGATTTAATTTTTCCAAAAATGAGATGGACTATTTCAGTAAATGTTAGGAAAGCTCTTGGCATATATACATGTCTAGCTTTAACTTCCATTTTCTTGACAGTTACTGCATTCCAGACCCCATTTACCCACAGTTTTGGCTTTTCATGGTCTCAGTTACCTGTGGTCAAYCCCAGTCTGAAAATATTAAGTGAAAAGTCACGCTGCCTGTTCTTTGTTAGTATAAATTTGTCAGTACACGCTATCTTGGTTTCAGATYATTGTTTTATCACCATGCTTGTGTTCAAGTAACCCAAATCACAGAATGGTGATGCTAGCAAYTCAGATATACCAATGAGAAGCTGTTAGGTGCTTCYTTTACGTGAAGAAGTGAAAGTTCTTGACTTCATAAGGAAAGAAAAAAGAAATTGAATGCTGACATTGCTAAGAAAGAGAATCCACATTTACACAACATTTATTACAGCATATTTTAATTATTTTAATTTATTATTAGCTATTGTTGTTAATCTCTTACAGTGCCTAATTTCCAAGTTAAGCTTTGTCATAGGTATGTTATGTGTGGGGAAATGCATAGTATTAATAGGGTTCAGTACTATATGTGGTTTCAGGCATCTACTGGGAGTCTTGGAATGTGTCTCCAGAGGATAAAGGGGACACCTGTATTTTGCACACATCATCTCACTTAATCTCAACAGTTTCACAAGGGAAGGATGATAATACAGATGCAGAAAGTGAGGATCAGAAAGGTAAAGTCCCAAGCCAAGGTCTACCRGTGATAAGTGGCAGAGCTGAGATTTGAATAGGGTCTGTCTGGCTTCAGGGCTTTTTGTCCGTATGTACTCATATTATGTGGGGACAGGAGAGTGCTAGTCAGTCATCACCCTACRTTTTCCCTGGCCTGATCCATCAATGCTTTCAAATCTCTGAGACCACAGATGGGTTGTAAAGAAAGGACAGAATCTCCTAAAAGATGACATTTTTTTTTTAATTTCCCAGAATCCCCAAATTCATAGCATGGTCTGTGGAAAATCTGAGAGTCCTGCCACCTCACAAATTTCCTGACTGTGTGACACTTGGGCACCTCATCAGAAAATGGAAGCTCCTGAGGCCTGGCCAGGGGCCTGCCATGCCAGGGCCCTGCAGCTAGTGTTTCAAAAAGCAATTCCTGGGCAAGAGAAAAAATAGAAGTCCCCCAGACACTTAGTCCTCCCAGGTGTTCAGGGACATATAGCAGTTTTCTCTCCTAGCTTGTTGTACCCCTCCCAGGAAGAGATGGGGAGGGGTTATAGAAAGCAGGTACCCCCTGGTTGAAAGAAGTTGCRCCTTCGGTCCTGTTTAACCTGGAGCAAGTCAGAGGCCTCTTGAGCAAATGCAAGAATCTTCACTGTGGGGAGCCACTCTGAATGACCCACCTTCCAGTCCTGAAGCAAGAGGCTCTAATTAATCACTACATTTTGTAGTGACTTGGGCGTTGTCCCAGCCCAAGAAGTAGGTGTGTCTTCAGATGTAGGTGTCAACCCTGAGGTTGAGTTACACTCWTCTGTTGCTTGTAATCCTGCCCYTTCTGGCCTTTTTTGGATAGAACTTTCTAAAGAACAAGAGTCTCCCCAATAAAAGCCCACTTCTGAACATGCTCCCACTCAAGCACGCACACACTTTCTCTTTCTCTCTCTCTCACCAGCCTCTCTCRCCTGACTTTCTCTTGCTTTCCCTTTTGGGGAGCCTGAGACAGAGAGAGCGGAGCCATCTGGAAGCTTGTTTAAAGGTAAAGTGTGTCTGTGTTTTATTTGGTGTCCCTGGAAAATCATACGAGCGACCTTAAGTTCAGCTGTMMACGCAGGTTGGGGGCAGCACTTCACCATATATTTTTTAAAATTTKTATTAGTTATTGATGGACTTTTATTTATTTGTTTGTTTTTATATGGTGCTGAGAATTAAACCCAGCGCTTGCAAGGTAAGCGCTCTGTCACTGACCCACAGCCCCAGGCACATCTTCACCATATTTTGATGATGCCCTTCTTCACCATCTTGGCCTGAAAACACACTGAGTGCAGAGGTACACCCATAACAGAAATCAGTTCAACTCTGCTGGACGCCACTGTGCTGGGAGAGGACTTCTTTCACTTTATCCACAATGGTCTCCACCTCAGCCATAGCGCCCAGACCTGGGAGCAAAGTTCTGTGCTGTAATCAAGGGAGGGCTGGACAGCTAACAATGCTTGCAGCCCCCTGCCCAAAGTTCCCCATCACATCCCATCCAGAGACGAAGGCCTAAAAAGGCCAGGCCCATCATTGCACCAACAAGACCCATCAAACCCCTCCTAAGACACCCCAGAATAGTCCCCAGGAATCATTCCACTAGTCATCCTTGACAGTGTGTATGCTAAATTCCAGCGACTCTAACAAGCACTTTTACTTATTTTTGTAGTACTAAAGATTGAACTCGGGAGTGCTCTACCACTGAGCTACATCCCCAGCCTRTTTTTATTTTGAGACAGAGTCTTGCTAAGTTGCTGAGGCTGACCTCAAACTCGAGATCCTCTTGTCTCAGTCTCCCAAGTCCCTGGGATCATAGGCATGCACCACCAAGCCCGGCCTCTACTAAGCATTTGATATATGTTATGTTATTTTATCCTAACAACTCTGAGAAGCAAGAATTAGGATTCTCATTTTCCAGGCAAAAGAATTGAGCTTRGAGAATAGTTCTACCCGAGGTCACTACAGGCCAGAATATGACCCCCAAAGCTGAGCCCCTTCCACAGTCATGGGYTGTAAGCCTGATAAGATACCTACCTTGATCTCCACACACCAGCTTCTTGTCCACACAGGGGATCTCCACATAGCCAAAGGCCTTGAGTTGGTCCACCTGCTGTGCAGTAAGGGGGTGTTCCCACATGACGGTATTCATGGCAGGACAGAAGAGCAGGGGTTTGCTGCGGTCCCAGGCCCGGATGACACAYGTCTGTGAAGAAGGGGGAGGTCCTGCTCCTCTGCCTACCACCCCTTCCTAGCCCTCCTAAACCATCCCCACTGTCCTCCAGGCTACAGTCAGCAGCCCAGTTGGAGGCTCAGGATGACTGGGTGCCACCTGTCTCATGTCCCTGGGGTTAGGGGACTCCTCAAACCTCACCATCTTTCCTCAAGCTCTGGCACAGGCACTACACACAGCAAGTCCTCAACCAATGCCTTCAATGGCTCAGCCACCTCCAGCAGACCTCCCTCCTATGTGTAGTCTCCCCGCATCTAAGCCTGACCCTTCTCCACACTGGCTTGTGCCTCTTAGGTAGAAGCAAMCCTGGGGAGCAAGAGGCAGGTGTCACAGTTCACCAGAAAGTTAGGGACCAGACTGCTCATAGGGAGACCTACCTAGCACCAACTCTACTTCTGAGCCAATTAAACCATGGCAATGAAAACATCCAACACATGACAAATACCTTCTCTCATACTTTATTTCAGGAACCCTCATTGTGACCCTAGGAGAAAAGCCCTGCCCGTTTCACAGATGGGCAAGCCATAGTTCCCTGCAGGGTGAACTGCTGCCCAAAGTCACACCTGGACAAACACAGCCTGTGTAACCTTTCACTGCACTGGGCAACCTTACTGTCTCCTGAAGCCAGGCCATCCCACTGAGGTACAGACCAGAGTAGCTGCGGAAGGGCCTAACAGCTCTGAGTCCTTAATGCCATAGGCTTTGAGTTCTGAGGTTGCATAAATCAAGTGTGTGTGTGTGTGTGTGTGTGTGTGTGTGTGTATAAAAACTACTTGTGAGAACCTGGACAAACTGTTTAATGCCAGGGCCTCAGTTTCTTCTGCAAAAGGGTCCCCTTACTGGGTGGCTGTGAAGACTGAGGGTGTGAATGCTTTCAAAATTCTTAGCATAGGGAATGGTACCAAGAACAGGCTTTCAGGGMGGTGGTTCCTGTTATTACTACAGGACAGGCTTATTAGGTTGGGGGCTGCCTCAGGGGGAAATAAGTTTCCCTGTGCTCTGACAACACCAGGCACCTCCTCTTGGCCAGGAGCTCCTTGGGGAGACAGTGGCTGGAACACTCCTCCCCAGAAATGGAATCCATCTGGGAAAAGAAGAGGATGTGCAGAGAACAATGCTATGCACAGGCCAGGCTAGAGCCTGATCCCTTGGTGCCCCTGCCCTCTCCCAGGACAGCAAAGAGCCTCAGGATTTGTCTGCTTGCGTCATCCCAGACACTAGCATTCGTTTCCCATCAAGTCCTCTCAATGTGCAACGAGGTTATGAGTGGACAGTTTCAGTCACACTTCCTCTTGGCCCCATGCCACCTGATACTTCTGCAGAAGTCCTGAGCATACCTAGAAGAGCCCCTTGTGTGTGTGTGGTATGGAGACGGGGGCTGGGCTAGGATTTCTAAGCCAWCATCAAAGGAAAGCACACCAACCCACATACCAAGGATGCTGACAGTTCAATTTTTATAACATTTGATATTCTTTGAAACATTTGCGCCTTCAAGTGAATTCCTTTGAGGCAAATAGCCAGACTTGGGAACATATTCTACTGCCAATTCTGGAGGAGAGAACCCCCAAAATTTCAGGGAGTGGCAATGGCCTTGAAGAAAAAAAAAAGGCATAGAGCTTTCAGGAGACAGAACTCTTAGAGTGGTCAGCCGAGACTGAACTCTGAGGTGGATGTGCTACAGCACATCAGACGYCCCTGACCAGACAGTGGGAATCTGAGAGTTTGGTGGGATGGTACAGACCACCCCACTCTGAGCTGCTTCAAGAAAAGCAACAGGGGGCTGGGGATGTGGCTCAAGCGGTAGCGCGCTCGCCTGGCATGCGTGCGGCCCGGGTTCAATCCTCAGCACCACATACAAACAAAGATGTTGTGTCTGCCAAAAAAAAACTAAAAAATAAATATTAAAAAAAAAAAAAAAAAAAAAAAGAAAAGCAACAGGGTATTTCTTTTGTTTTAGTGCCTGCTGGCCAGGTTCCAACACTATTGGGCATTCTTTCTATCTTTCTTATTTTAGTTGTGGATGGACACAATATCTTTGTTTATTTTTATGTGGTGCTGAGGATCAAACCCAGTGCCTCACACGAGTGAAGCAGGCATCCTACCACTGAGCTACAGCTCCAGTCCCTTTTTTTTTCCCTTTGTACCAGGAATTAAACCCAGGGGTGCTTAATCACTGAGCCACATCCCCAGCCCTTTTTGAGATAAGGTCTTGCTAAGTTGCTTAGGGCCTCACTAAATTGCTGAGGCTGGCTTTGATCCTCCTGACTCAGCCTCCTGAGTTGCTGGGATTACAGGCCTGCGTCACTGCACCCACTCCTACTGGGCAATCTTGATAATGCTGCTCTCAGATCTCCTTCTTTGCACTTGCTCAGGGCCACACCATCCAGGAGTGTTCTGCTCAACCTGTGCTCTTGGTCAAGAGATGCTTAAGTCACTAGTAGATTCCCCAGGAAGGCTTCAAGAGCCCCCTGACAGTCGGCATRGTGCGGCTCACTGACAGGCTCACTAATTATCTCTTATCTGATCCCCACAAAACCCTAATCCAGCTTTAGTATTCACCTTTTTCACCATGGTAAACTAAAAAACTCCCAGCTGTTGACATATGGAAAATTACTTCTGACCACATACATACAGTCTTTTATTGAATGCCTACCACATTCTCAGTAAAGCAAGGCAGTGACTCTGCTATCAAAGGACTAACTGGGGTCTGGTGTGGTAGTGCATGACCTTAATCCCAGCTACTTAAAGAGGCTGAGGCAGGAGGATCTCAAGCTCAAGGCCAGCTTGGGCAGTTCAGTGAGACTCTGTTTCAAAATAAAAATCAATTAAAAATAAAGGGTTAGGGACATAGCACAGTGGTAGAGTACCCCTGAATTCAATTTCCAGTACTGAATTTTTAAAAAATGGACTGACTAATGGTCACTTAAGACCATCATCACCCATCAGTCACTATACACGTGACTATGATAAAAAACCCTCTTCTGCCAGGGCCTATAATAATTCCAATGACACAGAATCTGAGTCAGGAGAATCAAAAGTTCAGAGCCAGCCTCAAGAATTCAGTGAGATTCTTAGTAACTTAGAGACACTGCCTCAAAATTAAAAAAAAAAAAAAAAAAAAAAAAAAGACAGAGGTTGTATATCAGTGGTAAAATGTTCCGAGGTTCAATCCCCAGTACAAAAACAAAAAACTACTCTTCTTCCATAATGAAAGCCCTCTRTGTCCTTAGCACAGTCCCTAGGACATGGGAGGTGAAAGCTTAATATATGGGGGAAAGGTAATAAGAAAGAGAGAGGAAGTAGAAAAATCACACCCAAATAGTTCCAGGATGATCATATAATCAAATCAGGAGACCAGCAGATCCTCTTTAAGAGTGACAGCTCCCTGGCTGTCACAGAGGCCTAAGCCAATTCCTACTTTTGTATATCTGAACCTCTCCTCCACCGTTCATAGGCAATTATCTCTTGTTCTGACTTTTTCTTCTTTTCTCTGTAAACTTTCTCTAATACACAGGAAAACTGAGTCTTAGCCTTGGGGCTAAAGAGCTACAAGAGATATGTTTCTATTGGAGATCTATGAGGAAGTAAGCACCCTTATCAGATTGCCCACATGTCCATATATCCAGATCCTGGTGAGGCAGTGCTGAAGGGGGAGGGAATGGACAGCAGAAGGCAGCTATGATGGAAGACAGAGAAAGCATGGGGCCAAGGCTAGGCATCTGACTGAGCACTGGGAGGTAGGCAAGAGGTGGACACACCCAGAGAGCATCAGCAAGTCCAATGGATCTGCAGGCCCAGGTCTGCTGCCCACTTGCTGGAGACTAAGGGGAAAGGGGCAGTGGAGCCAGGGGCACCACATTCTTCCTGAGCAAACCTGGGTCCCAAAGTAATAGGTCTTCTTGTACAAGKAAGTCTGCAGCTCAGAAAAGTGGGAGAGGGAGGGATGAGGATGCCAGGGAGTCACTCACAAGCAAATTGTCACAGATGCCACTGGCCACCTTCCCCAGGGTGTTGGCATCGAGAGGAGCCACTAGCATCAGGTCAGCCCACCTCCGCAGGTCAATGTGGAGAACTGGGTCAGAGCGGTGCTTCCACATCTGGCAGAGGGAGGAAACAGTGTCACTCTCTATGTGATAGGGGGAGGGGACCAAAGCAATCCAGGTACAAACCAGGAACCCAGGGAAACCACCCGACCTCCCTGTTCAAGTCCACCACAGTTCCCTCTCACAGCTCGGCTGGCAAGCACTGGCCAAGCAGCCAGCAGCCTGACAGAATCCAGGCCTGAGGAAACAAACGCCCCTTGTCTCTCTCAGCTATTCCCTTTATGGTTTGGTTTTCAACAGAACTGACATCTGGCAGGGAACTCCTGGCCTGTCTGCTTGAGGCGGATGCTTGGATTGTCCAAGCCAGTGGAAGGGCTCTGGGGCGATGAGAAATGGAGGGGGCGGGGTTGGGAGAAGAAGCCAGCCAAAAATGTTCAAGATTGAGAATGTTTAAAAATGCCTGGCAGGGCATCCCTGTGAGGCCCACCCTCCGCGTCTGGTGGGTCAGCTAGTGCCCGCCCCTCCACAGGAGGGCAGAGGCAGAGCCTGGAGGCCATGGGAAGTGAGGCGCTTTCCACAGCCCTGACGCCAGGAGCCACGTGGACAAGGGTGGTGGGAACAGAGCTCCTCTGTGGTTTCATCAGCCCAGATAAGTACAAGGACACTCAACCTCAGGCACTGGGCCAAAGCTGAGCTCTGCCTGGGAAGGGAGGGACTGTGGGCCTCCCGCAGGCCAGAAGCTAGACAGATGTTTTCCTCTTCGCCTTTGCCCAGATGGCCCTGACCGCTGACTTCAGCCCAGCCTGTCTGCTCTGGCCGCCAGGACCATAGGCTAAGGGAGGACAGTTCTGTCCTGTTGGTAGAAATGTCTTGTTGGGCCCAGCACTAACCTCCCATTCATCAGAGTCACTGTAGAGGGTGACAGGAATATCCTGGGGGTTGTAGAAATGTTTGGCTCTTTCAGTTGTGACCACTGTGACTTCCAGCTGTCACCAAGAAAAAGCAGAGGAAAGGAGAGAAAAGGAGGGAGAAACTGTTACTGGAGCTACAGACTTGGAGGCCACACACGGGCCAGGCAGGCAGACGTTTTCCTCACAGCCTGGCTTTAGAGAGGACTTCCCCAGAGCAGTGAGCCCCATGTTTGTACAGCTACTTCCGCTGTCACCCAAAGGTCAGGCCTGGCCAGGTGCAGCTGTTTCACTTCCCCATCTGAGGGGCCACTGAGGACTGAGTCACAAACTATCCAGTGCATATAAAGCGGCAACTCTTGCCACTTAGGCAGAGTGAGGCCAGGGACTGAGGCAGGGAACCCAAGGCAACTAGTGAGGCCACTGAAAGCAGGWGGGGCGCCCGAAACAGCTCACCAGCTCTGTGCCACATGGCAGTCCTGCCCTCTGCAGGCCAAGGCACAAGATCTGGGACTGGCAAGCTAAGTCTGCATCCACACACCAGTGAGAGCAGTTTCTTCTCTATTTCTAGGAACAGGACTCGTGGGCTCAGGCTGCAGTCAGGCTCCCGGAAAGCCAACCCTGTGTGCCCAACACTCATAGGGGAGAATGAGTTTCCCTTTACCTGACCCATTTACAAATCACTAATACAAACAAGGAAGGTGTTTAACCTGCTCAAAAGAACAAATGGCTGAGAGAAAAAGCACACATAGTGTGAAAGGCTCTAGATGGGCTGGCCATCATTTGTAAAAGAAGATGTCAGACTAACTAGTTGGCAAAATAACAAAGGGGACCAGAGGAGTGGCTGGAGGGGAAGGGTGTGGGAAACCACACTTTTGGGGGAAACCACTAAGTTAGGAGAGGACACTGAGCCCAGAGGGAAAAGAACCAAAGGTGACATGGACAGAATCAATGACTAACCACGGCAATGGGCAAGGGCAACAATATCTGGAGCAGAGCCAGCYTGCAGACACTCTGTGTGTCCTGCATAGGTTATAAACATTTGTGAGCTAATATGGAGATTGGAAGATTTCACACAAGAAATTCAATTTCCTGACTTCTCGTGCAAAAGCAAAAACTCTGGTGCTGTTGGATCCACATTCCTACTTGATAAGGACTTGGTGGCATTGGTCAGGGTGCTCCTTTGGAATGGGGCATGTCTGAAAGGAAAGTGAGGAATCAGGAGTCGGGTGAGCGAGAAATGAAAGACAGAGACCAGGCCGAGATACACAAGAGTTTATTTATCAGAGCTGACAAATAAAGGCCATCTCTCAATAGACAGAGAGAGGCAAAACAGGATTGGGGTTCAGGACTTTTACGGGGCCAGGTGGGTCCTAATGCAGCGGTTAAGGGTGGGGTTGGTATGAGGGAGTGGTGAGCCTTTCTCAGACAGGCCCTTGAGCAGGAAAGCAAAATTTTTCTTAAAATGGTGGCTGTCACTTAAGATGGCCATCTAGATGCTAAGCAAGGACCTTACAATGCCCATGCCAATTCAGCCTAGTCACTACTCCTCCTACTGTCCCCCTGAGGCCCACTTTCCTGTTGTTTTCTGTCTTTAGTACAGGGAGTGGGGGAGTGCCATAGTCTACACAGCACCTGAGAGCAAAGCTGGGACCAGGGGCAGATATGTCACAGAGAAGAACTAAGGAATAATTGAAGGTCTGGGGCTCCTGGCTCTACTGACCTGTCCATTGCCTGACCACTTCCTCTAAGAATCTACCATCCCCAGGACTTGCTCCAAACCTCAGGGACTTTTTAGAGGTCCTTTAAAACAAACTGCCAGAATACTGGAGGCTCCTCTAAGATAGCCCTCAACAAACCTTGCCCAGTTCTGAGCAAAATGCCAAGTAAGCAGGGTTGCCTTGTCTCTCCATAGAATCCAGGCCTASAGAAGCTACTGCACTTGCACAGGCAGAAAGAGCAGAGGGAGAGGGGACCATGCTGAGGATCTTGACTTCTTCATGGGGAAATGTGAGACATAAAAAGTTAACATAACCATGATTAACATAACCATGATTTTGGTTAACATAACCATAACAATGTAAAACTCTCAAACCAGGAGAAGAAAATTCAATTTACACAAAAAAGGAGAAGCAGCAGCAGACAGAAAGTAGAAAGCATTAAGTAAGATGGCAGAAGTAACAGGGTGCAATGGTGCATGCCTATAATCCTAATAACACAGGAGGTCAAGGCAGGAGCATCACAAGTTCAAGGCCAGCCTCAGCAATTTAGGAAGACCCTGTCTCAAAATAAAAAATTTTTAAAAGGCTAGGGATGTGGCTCAGTGGGATGTGGAGCTCCCTGGGTTTAATCCTCAGTACTGGAGAGAGAGAGAGAGAGAGAGAAGATGGCAAAAGTAGTAGTGTAATAGGAATTAGCGTAAATATATAATGAGTTGCACTCCTGATCAAAATTCAAATGCTCATCTTGAATGTTTTTTAATTCATCAATAGGTTGTCTAAAAAGACACATTTCAAACCAAAGATAAATAAAAGTTAAACAGAAGAATAAACTTCCAGTTAAAACTCCCAAGAACAAAAAGGAGAAAAAAATGACAGCCACTAGGACACGTCAATACATTTAAGACAAAAGTGGAAAGAAGTATTAGAGATGAAATGAGATCGGATGAGATGAGATTTAAAAACCAAATTCCAAGAACCTATAAGGCAGCTAAGAAAAAAGCCCATTAGAGACAAGGAGCCCAAGGAAATCTCAGGAATTGGAGGTGCTGAGTACCTGGGAAGGTGGGAGGGACAGACAGCTGAATGTAGATGGACTGCACCATCTGCCAAAGGACAGTGAAGCCCCCCAGCACCATCCCAAACTGCCAACATATCACCCTTCTCCATCCCAAGTGTTGTCAGATTTGGAACACTTGGCAGACAGACGTCAAAGGAGAAATTCTGCAACAGAAGTATCTACAGGCTCCCAGAGAATTTTACTATATCCTAAGAATGCTGGGTCTACCAGGCAGGAGACTGGTGAGGTCTTTTCTGGAAAACCTTATGTTCCCAGGATCACTTGGGTTTTCCCAAACCTCAAAAGGAAGATGAAATGAAATGGGACACAAGGGATTCCTCCCGTCCCCCACCGATGTCACACCACTGGCCTCAAGCTCCAGACACTGTTCCATTATTCTTTTCCCCAATATTGATATGTAGAGTCATTTTGTTCTTCCTAAATTTCCCCATAAACTTCAGCTCACTCTGGGGGCCTCTGTTCTGTGCTTTAACTTCATCTTTGGTCACGTGTCCTTTCTTTTTTTTTATTTTTACTGGTTGTTGATGGACCTTTATTCATTTATTTGTGGAGCTGAGAATCGAACCTAGTGCCTCACACATGCTAGGCAAGCGCTCTACCACTGAGCCACAACCCCAGCCGCAGCGTGTCTTCCTTTCTATTTAACTGCTTTCCATCTCCTTCAGTAGGGGGCTTCCCAGGCAGCTGCTCACACACTGCCTCCTCTTTCTCATGGGAATGGCTGTCTTTCATGTCTGAGAGCTTCCCAACCATCCTGAACTATTGGCTACTTAAGAATGTCCCAAGCCACATATGATGGCAAACCCCCATAATCCCAGTGACTTGGGAGGCTAAGGCAGGAAGATCACAATTAGTAACTCACTGAGCCCGWGTCTCAAAATAAAAATAAAAATAAAAATGGCCAGGATGTAGCTCAGTGATAAAGCACCCCAGTTTCAACCCCCAATACCAAGAAAGAAAGAGAACATCCCTGGTTCATCTTCTCTACTCTGAATTTTGGAAAGTTGCTTATTGAGGATCTAGTGCCCTCATTCTCCCCAGTTCCCAAACATCCTGCCAACTCTCAAAGGGTCTATACCTTAATGCTAGTCTTCAGAAATATTCCCAATTGGCATTCCCTTTGTTCAAGGGCTCCCTCCTGCCTCTACCTTTCTTTCCTCTACTCAAGGTCTCAGAGCCTTCATATTGCACCCCCCACCCAGGGTCTGTGAGGCCTCCCACCCTGGGCAATAGTCCTACTTGATTCCTGCTAAGCTAAGCACTTCAGTTGACCTCAGCCTCTCAGCCTGTGTATCCTCCCACGCTTCACAGTCACATTGTGAGGAAGCCTCCTAGGTCAGTGTCTTCACCTGAAGGGTACTGTGAAGAACATGTGATGGGCAGGTTCTCCCCCAAGCCCCTCTCTGGCCCCACTGAAGCAGCCACCTCTCCTGGCAGTGACCTGGCCCCCAGTGCTGTTGGGCAGGCCCAGGCTCGTTTTTTCTGGTTTTATAGGGATACCAACTTGATCTGAGTCACCAGCCCTGCAGGCTTTGTTCTTTCATCTTCATTCACTCAGCCAAAAGGTCCTGGGAGCCAAGGGCTGGGTGTGGGTCTGTATACATTTTTTTTTAAAGCATGTGGTATTACCTTCTAAGTTACTAAATAATTAAGACTATTCACTCATTCACCCTGACCTTTTCCCAGCAAATGCCCAGGAGCCCTGCYTGGTAGGTCACAAACACCTCAAGGCCAGGTACTCTCTTAGGCTTTCTCTTACACCCTCACGGGACCACATCCCTAGCCCTTTTTATTTTTTTTTCTTTAGTTGTAGATGGACACAATACCTTTATTTAATTTATTTATTCTGTGGTACTGAGCATTGAACCCAGTGCCTCACACATGCTAGGCAAGTGCTCTGCCACTGAGCTACAATGTCAGCCACCCCCCAACCAGTCCTTTTTTATATTTTATTTAGAGACAGGATCATGCTAAGTTGCTTAGGGCCTCACTAAATTGCCAAGGCTGGCTTTGAACTTGTAATCCTCCTGCCTCAGCCTCCCGAGCCACTGGGATTACAGGGGTGCACCTCCACACCTGGCACAGTCTGCATTTTGTCTAGCATTTATAGAGATTCTTTCCTGAAACCAGTTGAAAGTCTGATTTGTTTTTCCCTCCTAAAGAGACATCAAGAATCCCAATCTAGTCAGGTGCAGTGGCACACACCTGTAATCCCAGCAGTTCGAAGCAGGAGGATTACAAGTTCAGAGCCAGCCTCAGCAACGGCGAGGTACTAAGTA